TGCTTTCTGTTCTGTTCAATGGTATTGGCATTCATCTCTGTGTAGAAATCAGAACTTTGAACCATGGAGGACCAGGCTGGAGTGACAGTGCACCCTGGTGCTGGGAGGTGTGCCTGTAACTGAGGGCCTGCTTGGAGCTCAGCGCTTAGTTCACATATTCCTGAACTCCTCCATTGTTAGGTGGCAATAGTGAATTTCTTCACGAAGTACATCTTCTCTACAGTAAGTAAATTATTAGGAAGCATTTGCAACAGGATTGCTTGAAACAGAAAGAGAGAAGGGAGGGCGGGACCAGGCAGCTTACATACTTCTCTCAAAGGAAAAGTCAACTCGGAGAATTCCTGCGTCTTTAGAAAGTTATTTACGCAATTCAGCCACATTCTCCATTCTGTCCTCAGCTTCCTCCACTAGTAACATTTCTTGCCGTATTACTATGTTACAGAAACAGTCCATCATTTTTGTGTGTGTGTGTGTGTGTGTGTGTGTGTGTGTGTGTGTGTGTGTGGCAATACTGGGGTTTGAACTTGGGGTGTCATGTTTGGTAGGCAGGCTCAATACCACTTGAGCCATGCCCCCAAGCCCCCATCATTTTATTTTTTTTTAATAGGTGTTTAGTATTCCCTTGTGTGGCTGTATACCATATTTTAATCCCAAACTAGTTTATGATTTTGTCAATAAAAGGCATATTCGTATGATGGACTTTAGTGTGATAAGTTTGTGCCTAACGAGTTTAGAGTTAGTAAGTATCACTACTTACAATTAGTTCATAAATTATACACACTTACTCAAGATAAATATATCAAATATGAAGTGCTCAATGACTAATTTAGATAAGAGTGTTCTTCCTAGGAAATAAAAAGGAAGTAGATTTCAGCGGGGGGAGAAATGGCAAGCACAAGAGAAGTTAGAGGGACTCTGATATTTTCACATGCCTGGTCTTTAGAAATGGTGCATAGCCTGAGGTACAAGGAGGTTCCCCTCGTTTTTCCCTGAGTGCCGCTTTTCTTGAGGAGAAGCATAGAATCCAAGTGGGAAACTTTTCTAGTTGGCCCCGTTGTAGTTGGCCTGGCAGATTCCAGGCTGGGAGAGGCAGAGAAGCCCGAGCACCCTTTGTAAGGTGTTTGGAAGTCTTCAGTTTGAGTGTTTCCAGTGCTTTAGCTTCCAGAATGTGTAATGTAAAATTACCAGTGCACACATGGTTCTTAGGCACTCGGCTGACAAGATCATTCCATTTGGTGCACTTCAAATAACGTGGTTTCTGTCAGATTGCAGTTTGGGAATACTTTTAACAAAGTTAAGGACAGTCTAGCACCTACATTCAACCCCTGCAGTCTGGAGACATGAGAGTGATCTGTGCCCATTGCGTGGTCTCAGCTGTGGCTCAATAATTGCCCTTCCCCCCTCCCCGGGGTTGGGGTTGGGGTTGGGGTGGGGGTGGGGGAAGGCGGTCACAGCTCAAAAGTGCAATAGCGTACCTGTTAGAAGCATTTTTCAAAAGTATAATATGCTTCTTTTTCCGTGTAAAGTCAGTTATGTGACTATTCGCTGCTGCCCAAGTGTTCTTCCAAAAATTTGACTGTGGACACACTGCCTAAAGTTGCTTGATAATCGCAAGTAACCAGTTCTGCTGGGGAGATCTATGCCTACTGAGTGATTTCTTCATTTTGAAGAAAAATATTTCTACTCTTACTTATTTGGTGGCCTTCATTTGCTGGCAAATCCAGTGTCGTGCCCCCAAAATAATGTGAACTGTATAGACCTCTAGTCTTCAGGTAGTTCTTTAAAGTGTGGCTTTGGAGCTGACAGGTAAAGAACAATTTTTCTTCTGTAAGTTTTATTCTCAGGAGTAATTCAAGCCAGTTGTGCTTTTCTTGCCTGCAAGTTACTAATGTAGACTGGAGATGCTTTAGCTCTGTCCTCATTTTGCAGTTGACAGAATCTCTTGGACAGACGCATGCCTTTGCCCATGGTATTAAATTGCCCATTTTTGTTACTTAGAAATGTGCATTACCACGTTACAGAAATGGAAGACCATCTCTTGACAGACTGTGAAAGCCATGGCCACACCTGGGTTTGTTTGCATTTTGTGTTTTCTCCTTGGGTTTTGAAGAAGGAACTTTATCAGTTAGTTCCTTAGTTTACACCATGGATAAAAGCCACCATGTGAACATTTGTTCAGCGTAGAGAGTTCCATCTTGTTTTCTTTTGCTTTCGAGCAGTCTAAAAGTTCCCTCTGGTGTGCTGCGCCACAGCCAAGTGTCCTTGTCCCCATAACGAGGCCACTCGTGGGGGCGAGGACTGTTTCTTCTTACACCTTATGGATAATGGGGGTGGCCTCAGGGTCTACTAGATGGTGGGTGTGCTTTCTGAAAAGAGTGGCAAGGAATTTATCAGCTTTAGGGGAAGCGTAAAAAAATGGAAGACATTTTATGTCTGTGAGGTCGCTCGCCTCTTTAATTCAAGGGGCAAAGGAACTCTGTTGCACCCTGTACCGAAGGCTGTCTGCATATAACTTTCAAAGGACAGTCACTTTTGTTCTGTTCAAACTTCAGCCAGCAAGCCTCCAGCCTACAGGAGAATTTGAGATTTTTCTCCCTCCCCCATTTCTTGTGTTTTTGTTCCGTGTAAACAGCTCCTGCCGTAGTAACATAGACAAATATAGCAGAGAACGCTTTTCTGGACCATGAATGCTCCCTAAGCATTTTTTAACCATCTTTGGGAAGAATTGATCTTTCTGTTTGTTTCAGATGGGCTGAGAGAGGGGAGGCCAGGCTGTCACTGTGAATTGAAGTGACATCATATGTATTGCCCCCATTGATCTGCTTTTAGTCTCCAGCCAGGATAAAAGGAACTGCATCAGGCAGGAAGCACGCTTCATCTAGGCACAGATCCCAGAGTGATAATGGGTAATAATAGAACTCACGCCACTGTTGATCGGGCTGCATTAGTCTCGATCTGTCCGTCTGGGAGCTGTGCTGACTTCCTTCCTCTGTGGCCCGGCTACAGTGCACCAGCTGGGCCGCCAGGAGCTGCCCTCCTGGGCTTTCAGAGGCTTGCAGACGGTGGGGCTCAGACGTTCGTGTGTGTCGGTCCTCGCCACAGGTCGTGAGACCTGGCCGTGGCATTTCTGGTCCTGGAGGTGAGCTGGCCTCTTTGTTGTGTGCCAATGGAAGAGACAATGGAGAGTTCGTTGTGTGGATGGTCTTGAGGGAGCTCAGAGTGAGTGGTGCCCCCATGACATCCCCGAGAGGCTCTGAAAGAGTCAAGGTTTGTTTTCTTTGTGCTGCTTGTACAGGAGGGTGGTTTGGAAAATTCAAATTTTCTTTCCAAAAGTTTGTGTAGAAACTTTTTTAAACCATTTAAAGCTGTGCGGCTTGCCTCAGCACTTCAGTTGACTGGAAAAAAAAATAGAAGTAGACTCTTTTCTTTGAACATATCTCAGTAATTAACAACTGTAAAATCTTCCATGTTTACGGCAAGACTACAGGCTTCTAAAATCCCTAACAAATAGCATTTGTACTTGACTGGCCTGCTTTAGCATTCGCTGTCTCGTTTTCAATTGAGTAAGCTTTACAGTCCTGCCCAGTTGTTCAAGTACGCATGTGACGTTGCACTTCATACTCATCTTCGCCTTAAGTTCCCTGGGCAAAGGCACTTTAAAAAAATGCTGAGCTGGTCCTCATGTAGAAGAAGTAATAACGCCATCATAAATTTCTGGTTTGTACGAAGAAAGGAAGGGGCTTTCTGTTCCTGTCACTGAACTATGGGTGGGAACACTGCTGGACCCATGGAAATACGTGCAAGTTCCCCTGCAGTGTCTGAAGATCCTGCTTTCTTAGGAGACAGTGCCCCGGACGCTGTGCTTTGGTTTTTTCTATCACACCATAGCATGGCTGAAACCATGTCTTAACTGCTGTGTTAAAATGAGGTTGGCCATAAATTGTGAAATTTAATCTGATCTCTGTGTGGGCGGGAGTGGGACAATGGCACAACATTCCCAGCACCCTGTGCCAGCTGCCAGGCGGTCCTGCTGCCCAGCACTGCCTCTGAAAAGCTGCACGTTTGCTAGTGTGTATCTTTTTGCTTTGCAAACATTTTGGCTGGCTTATTACATGTTACTTCTTTTTCATTGTAGGGTGGCTTTACAGAGAGCAAATGTTTATTTTACAGAGAGAAATGTACTGTATTAAAATGTAGCAACTTACCACATTTCTACTTTCATCTCATCTTTCAAGGTCTGTAATCTTGTTCTTTAAAGAAATGATATAATATTGACTTACTTGTGGATGAAGAATGCTTAATTAGTTGTCTGTGGCCTACAACAGCATTAGATCACTGATGTTGTCTGCTTTTGTCATTGCTTAGAAACTACATGTTTTCCCATGAATTAGAGTTCCACTTGAAAGCCAGGTGACCACAGGTTGTACACAGTGAGTCATTTCTGCACCTCCGTGGTAAAGAGCCAGACTAGATCTAGCATACTGGAGGAATGTTTGCAGCATGGCTGTGCCGGTCCTTCTTTGGCCTTCTGCCCGCCTCGAAACAAGCTGGCTCTTGCAGTGTCTTTCCCACCTTGTTGAAGGAGGAGGTATGCACTGGTGCTTTTTCCCTCCCTCCAATCAGAGTCAGTTAAACTTAGGACGAGCTCTATAAAGGTTTGACTCCCTCCTGTCTGACCTCTGTCTTAAGTCTTAAATGTTTCCATTGCGTGAAATTTAAGAGGACAAAAGCTTTGAAAGATCCTTTCTGTTCTTTTTCTATGTGCAGATGTGTGGACTTTCTGCTTGAGAGAAAACTGAGGTACACAAATATGAATGCACGCATTTCGATGGGGTCATGTAGGATTGTTTAAATGGAGTTGTATTTATTGGTTGAACACAGCTGAGGTAAGCTGAGGACCAAGCTTGTTGTCTTACTCAAGAATTCTTTCCTCTGTGGGCGTCTTTAGTTTAAACCAAGTCCCAAACAGAGTCTACCAGTAGACTCCTTGTAAGCACAGTTATATAACAGGGAGACTCTTACTTCGACTTTTCCCTTTCCTGCAGTTCTGCAGATTGGCAGGCTGGCTCCCATGGCCTTTCCCAGGAGTCTGCCTTACCTGTGCCTAGAGAGACTGTGGCATTGGACTTTGGTGCTCTGTGATAGGAACAGAGGGATGCAGGATGGGCTGGGCCGCTCTGACCCAATCTGGAGCTTCCCTGTGTCTCTGCATTGGTGGGGGATTTGTTTCTGGGAGAATGGTCTGTCTCCTTAGTCCCAGCCCTTGGCAAGGGAGGTGGGTCACTCCAGTAGGGGCCCCAGAGCAGTGGGGCCCTTCAGCAACTGCAGCAGTGAAGCAGAAGTGGTCGGGTGCTTTGAAGGAAGCCCTTAGTTAGCTTGGGAGAAAGAGAGGCACTCTGTAGAGGATCCAGGTACAAGAGGGTTATTTGGTGGGAGGGTGGCCTTAGGAGAAGTCAGGTTCCACTGTCAGCAGAGGAGGGCCTCCCTTGGAGCATTGAAAGGTATTGGAGGGTTTGATAGGTGGCAGGGAGGAGGAGGGGACCAAGGGACCACCACCAGCCTGGGGATTAAGTGAGAGGAGCTCACAAGGGGCCAATAAGACAGTCTGAGTACAAAGTCTGCTGGGCTGCGTGGTGAGCAGCCCTGGACACCCCACACGTGCCTACCCAAGGGGTGCACTTTGTGCGAACCGGAGGAGATTTACCAGAGGCTGGGTGTCCTGGGTTGGCCTTTCTATAAAATAGCAGACTTCTCTCACTATCTTAAAAGTAGCCTCATGTCTAAAACCATAGAAAATGGTAGGCTGGTGTTTTAGTTACTAGACATGATGTAGTAACTTGATACAGGCACATGACTTCTCTAGAAGGAGATTGTTAGTCCTATGGTCCTTGTGTAGGACCTCACAGATCAGTGCTAATCGTAATGTAATTTTCTAGAGACACCCAGTATCTCCTTCAGCCTCAGATGCTGTCCACAATGTGACTATGAGATGGTAGATACAATGAAATAAATATACCCCAAACCAAGTGATGTGTATCTGTGTACCTATCTGCTTGTCTGTGGCAAGCGGAGTTTACTAGAACTTAGTTAGGGAGAAATGAGAGATGCGAGAAGTTTCTTTGTGAAGGTACGAGGTGAGTGCTATACATGTGGTCTGCCACCTTCCTTCCCTGCATGCTGTGTGTGTGCGTGTGTGAGAGAGAGAGTGCCAGAGTGCACATCTGAGGACAGACAGGTAAAGAGTAGAGAAAGAAGCCAATAACTTATGATATTCTTCTGATAGTAGAAAGTTGCAGTGAAAACCCAGGTGGTGTTACGAATGTTCTGTGAGCCCAAGGTTGGCGTCCAGATTTGTAAGTCTGTTCATTCATGAGTGTGATCTGGAGATGAGCAGGGCGCAGGGAAGCTGAGTATAGACAATAATGAAATCCACAGTACTTATTTTAAAACCTAATACGCTCCTCCCCTTTGCTTTAGTTTATATTTCACATTTGGTCTCATACTTTGATCCCGGGCTTCAAACCTCCTACTTCTGCCTCCCAGGCAGGTGAGACCACAGGTTTGCATTACCACACCTGGCTTAAAACCTTAATTTTTAGCATAAAACATTTTTCAGTTCCTACAGGTGTGTCTTAAGTTGATTTTTTTTTTTTTTCCTCCAGTGCACTGCTGAACCAGTGTAATGGTGCCTCACAGGGAGGGCAGTGAGCACTGTGGTAAGATGGTAAACAGATACAGGCTCACACACTCAGCTGTGTGTTCACAAATGGCTTGCTTTTATTTTTGTACTGCATGAAGACTTCTTTTCCTCTCTTTGCTTTTAACTGTGACATCATTTTTGACCTGTCCTGTGTGGAGGCTCAGGAGTAAGGGTGACTGTCTGTGTTTATGTGTATACATTGCTACATGTATAATGCATAGAGCCTTTTATAAACTTATAAATCATAAACGTACACTTTGTAACGGAAGGATTGTGAGGCATGGGAACTGTTTCATTGCCTGCTTTGTATTTCTTGGTGTGCAGTCAGTACATGGCAGGGTTTCTGTGGTTCAGGAGGAATCTGAAAACACGATTTCTGTTCAGCTCCCATGTGCTTGCTGGAAGTTGGCTTCTTGACTCTCTTGCTAGACTGAGTGACATTTTTTGACATATGCACGCCATAAAGGCAAGAATCTCCTAACCATAGTGGTGCTTTGTTAACACACACACCATTTGATCTGCTGTAGGTGGAGACCTGAAATGAAAGCGTGGAGAACAGAGCTTCACCAGACTCTAGAATGGTGGTACAGACAGGGTACCCTGAGGTTTTTGCATGTCTGTGCCATGGTGTTCCTGGTGTCCAGACACACGCTGAAAGGGCCCAGGTTAGCCTGGCTTTGTTCTAAACGTCAGCCAAATGGCATTTTCACAGGCTGTTTTGTTTCACCCGCAGCTTCTTCCAGACCAGCTGGTCTTGCTTCTGGAGCATCTCTTAGAGGAGAAGACCCTGAGGCCCCGAACGCTCCAAAGCCTCCAGAGGACGTACTGCCTCCATGAGCAGGATGCAGAGGTAACTACTAGGTCCTGTCGTGGAAGCTACCATGTCCATTAGCAAACTCCCTGGTGTGTTTTACGGGGAAGAGCAGGGCTTTATGCAGCACATAAGGTAACTCCCAGGCCAGGCTTTTTCTCCAGGTTCTGCTAATCATTTTCGTAACCAGAGTATTCTGAGGTCCTGAGTGTTCCCTCTTACTTCCTAAATCTCAAAGGTGGACCTAAGTCTCCTAAAAGAATGAGCAGACAGGGTGGAGTGTTTATGAATTACAGACTTGGGTGGGTCATCCCGCACGCTGATGGTGGTGCCGTCCTGTTACACATTAAGGAAACTTGGCTCAGACATGTTGGCACGTCTTGGTTGCATTCAGTCAGCACAGGAAAGAAGCCATGTGTAAAGGAAATGAAAACTGGATCTCACAGCCGTGGTTTGAAAAGTAAAACTGGATGCTTATGGGAGAGCAGTGTGATGTGGTCCTCAATATCTTCTAGCTTACTGGGGAGAATGCAGTATGAATCCCAAGATGAGTTCCAGGTTTTAAAAATACAAAGTAATAAATATTTAATGTACTCAGTCATCTTAAGTAAAACGTAAGTGCTCAGAAGAAAAGCTCTTTCGTATACAACTCATATGGTGCAGATGAAGCAGTTTTGTTTGTGTTCAGTTGAAAAATAGTTCTGAACATTTTAAAACCATGCAGTCCAGTTCAGCCTCCCAGCCCCCTGTGGCTGTTGAGCCCTTGAAATTTAGCTGTTTTGATTTGAGATGTACTGTGAATGTAAAATGTACAGTGGATATTGAAGATGTATAAAGAAACAAACTATTTGAATAATTTCTCCCTGTTCATTACAATGTATTTTTGAAATGATATTCTAGAAATATCCTAATACATAAATAAACTTCATAAAGATGGAGAAAATTGTCCCTCTAACTAAAGGGTAAGAGGGACATTGTTGTGCATTGCAGAGTCATTGAAAGAATTCCAGAGAAGACACAGTAAGCTTCTTACCTAAACATCGGTCAGATGTGTGGGTGTTGCTTTATTTCTGCTCTTAGATTTTTGATCATAGGAGTTTCAAATTCTAGGCGATTATTTTTAATTAGTGATTAAAAGACTTTCCTATTTATAGGCCTTAGGTTGAATGGCACTGGAATGTCATACTTCTGCCACAGGCTTGCACAGAGCAGGGTAGGAGGTCAGAGCAGGCCCCGGACACCTGTCCCCTTGCCCAGAAGCCATGAGGTGCTAGACCCTGTTTCCTCCTTCCTTTTGGCCTAAGCACATCCTGTTCTTAACTTACAGCCTGGCTTAGTTGCTATATATAACCTCTTAAACCTTTGAAAAGGACACAGGTTTTATCTGGTTGCTTGTTTTATGTCTCCAGACTATATCCTCCCAGACTATATCGTGCTGCCCAAAGACAGGGTAGTCTCTTCGTAGATCCCTAGTGACAAGAGGTAGCTTGAAGGGTAGCATGGCTCAGTCTGTGTGGGCACACAGGCGAGGTTTGCCCTTGGGACGCTTGCACTCCCTGGAGAACAAGCTCGTAAGTAAAGGAGCAGGGCAGATTCCACTTAGAACTGGGGAGGAAGTACACAAGGTGAAGTTGGACTAGGTTTCTCTAGACAAGAATATTGAAGAAAGGCCATGCAGAGAGAGCGCCAATGAGCCAGGCCCCAAAGACGAGAACAGGCTGGCCATACACACCCAAGGGGCTGGGGTAGTTTCCATATAGAGACAAAAACAAGTGCGGAGGTGTGAACTTAGCATGTGCCAAGGTAGCAGTCAGCGGAAAATGAAATTAGAAAACAAACAAAACACTAGAAGCTGTCAGGATAGTCATGGTTCTGTTTTGTTGATGAGGAAGATGAGACCGGACAGTGGACGACTTGTGTGTGGTCACCGGTTGGCTGGTGCAACTTTTTGGCCTTGGCAGTTGTGGTATGAGAGCCACATTCGGTAATATGTAAATAAACATGACCATGTGCTAGTCAGACTTGTTACGAGTCTGAAACTTGAATTTCATACTGTTAGCAATACCCGGGGTATTTGCCATCTTTTCCTGATTACCTTTTAAAACTATTTGAAAGCATGCTGCTCCTAGCTGTGGGCTGGCTGGGCCTACCCTGCCCCCTGAGGATCGCTGGGCTGCCAGCTGGGGCCTGCAGGCTGGGATGGGGATAAAGCCCCTGTGTGCACTGGGAGGGTGCTGGCGTGTAGTTAGTTGCACTGATGGCCTATCTCTCTGTGAAGTTCCTGTGAAGTATCACTCAGAACCAGAAAAGCAGTGGGGTTTTAGACAACCAGGGTGTTTTCTAAAAACTTTGTGACTTGTGATTTATCATGCTATCAATAACAATAATCTGTCTTTATTTTTGAGTGACAGACTGCGTGGGAAAAAAAAAATTGTTACTTGGTAGAAAAAGTCTTGAGGACTCTGACTTGGTTCTCGGTATTTCTCCTTCACTAGGCAAGTAAAAACAGCATCTTTGAATTGTTCTCTGGGCTCTTAAATATGGGATAAGTAGCAGTTAATTGGCCAGAGAAAGCAGCTGTAGCAGGACATGTCCTGAATGTCTGTGTGGAAGATGACCCCAGCGGGTTTTGTGGCAGGAGCAGAGTTAGGTTTTCATGCTCTGTTTCATGCCTCGGGCTCCTGGGGTCCCAGTGTTGAATGAAAAGCCTGTGTGGAAGGAGTTCAGCCCATTCAGGTCTCAGTACAGACCAGGGAGACTTGGGGGACCAGGGAGCATTTCTTTGCCTACTCTCTGGGCATGCCCTCTGACGTCCAGGGTGTCCCTGAACTGGAAATTTCTCAAAATAAGCTTTGCTGTGGAGCTGCACTGGCCACCCACTCACAGAGGAGGGGAAGGAGGGACAAAAAGAAGCAACCCCTGAATTCGTTCACTTGAGGTTGGTTTCTGGGAGCCAGGCGTGTTCATGGAGCATGTGTTCTGATTGGGAGGCGGGGGGAGCGTGTTTCTGAGTGTTGCACCTGGGCTGAGGTTTGCTGGGATGTGTGGAGACTGGTCTCCTGAGTACCCCTGCTGCCCTCCCAGACCCACACTGACCCACACCCCATGTGGTATGAAAGCTGTAAACGCTGATGTGGGAAGGATGTGGGAAGGAGGGTACATACTGTTCTAGGCCATCATACGCCTTGCCCACGCCTTGCCCACGCCTCGCTGCCTCCCTCTGCTGGGTGGGGCTGGGGCAGGGCACCTTCCCTTTTCTTGGCTTGGAAAATGAGGCTAACCTAGAAGTCAGCCATCTTGTTCACGCTGAATCACACAACCTACCAGCCTTAGCCAGGCTCCTTCCAGGAGCAAGGAAAATGAGAAGAAGGGAAATTCAGCCCTAAAAGCACCTTGTCTACAGCTTTTTGGTGTACTGCTCAAGAAAGAGCCATAAAAGTGTAAGAACATACTTGACAGCTGATTCTGGATCAGAAAGTGTTTTACCAAATTCCTTTTCAAATAGTAAATTTCAGGTCTTCCTTGCTTGGCAAATCTCTTAAGTCGAAAAAGTAGCTGCCACGGCAGTGAGGTGAGGGTCCATGGAGCATGCTCTGTGACCGTGTTCCTATGAAGCCCACACCGACCTTCCCGCAGCTTCACTTACGGTGGTTGTACCAACCACTTTGAACCAGGGGCATGCCTCAGGCGCCTGTATCTCCCAACAGTGTTCCTTAAAAAGTTTTTCTGGCATTTTTGAAAATTAAGAAGCAGCAACTCAGTGACTCATCTGTCTTAGATAGGAGTGGTAGTCACTAATCGGAAATGTCCACGCTGCTGCCTGCTCTCTCTGAAGTTTCAATGGGGACGTTTGGCCAGAAAGTTAATATTTTTGGGAGAGGCCATCAGTAGCACCAGTTCATCTCCTCACTGAATTTGTTGAAAGGAAGGGGTCTAAGGCAGGAAGATGGAGAGGAGAGTTCAAGGCTAGCCTGGACTACATACATAGCAAGACCCTGTCTCAGTCAAAAAATAAAGAAGAAAGATTAGATTGGAGTAAAAGCATAGGTATGTCGCGTCCCCACCTTCCTGGGGTGCCTCCACTCTGGGTGTGTGCTGTGCGCTTCTCACGCCATGCCCCCATGAAGAGAACAGAAGAATGCTTGTGTGTATTTTGATCAGCTCTGCCCTGTTGTGGTCTCCTCTGAACACTCGGGCACAGGCTTTGGTATTGAGCAAGGCATGGACTCAGCAGTGAGCTGGGCTCAGGCCCCAAGGCTGATGGTGACCACACACAAGCCACCTACCCTCCAGCCCCCATTTTCCTCATCAGCAAAGTATGATGCTCCAGGATAGCTCCTGGGCTATCCTGATGGCTTTTGGTGTTGTGTTGGATTACAGCCCACAGTTTGGAATGCAGATAGGATGAGAGCAAAGTTCTCATCAGGTGGCCTGATTCCTCCCTGGGGACTTTGGCCAAGGTTCCTCCCAGCTTCACTCTCCTTGGGCTTAGATACTTTCTTGAAGAGATTGTCAGCAAAGTAAGACTCTCCGTGTCAGTGAGGATTCTGAGTATGTGAGCATCCATGGTTGTTGGTTGGTTTTTTTTCAGGGAGTTTTGCTGGGGATGGAACCCAGGGCCTCACGCATGCGAGGCATGTGTTGTACTATTGAGCACACCCCAGCTGATCACATCCATAGTTTCTGTTCATGTGGAACTCACATTTTATCATCTGGTCTGAAAGGTAAAATATTGTTACTTAGCTAAAACAACATGCATGTTATCTCCTCAGCTGTATCCTCTTTCTTTTAGTCTGTGGACAGGCAGCATAAGAAAGAGACAAGAAATACCCACAGCTGGGTTTGTGTTCTAGGCCACCCAACTATTGGGAGTCCCTATGCATTTGGTCACAAAATTCTTAGTCTTTGGCTCTGTGGTTGGTTAGTGTTTATTTTGCTCTGGGTGTGGGGTAGGGGGTGCAGTTTGCTCTAAATGAGGGGTTTTCAGCCTCAGCAATTCTGATATTTTGAATGGTTGATTCTTTGTGGAGGGCTGTTCT